CTTGGGGCGCAAGTGCGCGCGCGGCGGTGGGTGGTGGCGGGGAGGGCGGGCTGCGAGAGCCTGCGGTGAATTACTTGGGGCCGAGCAGGGGAGGTGTGTGTGAGGACTTGGTGTGTACGTGCGGGTTGTCCAGCCACGGCCAACGGGTTTTCTGGCATTTTTGGTTTGTGGCAGTAACACAGTCTCTGCGGGACCTTGTGGCTTGTTTCCATCTCCACGTCCTTTGCGTGCACGAGTTCCTGCTTCTGGTCGAATACGGCCCGCCCCCCTTGCCAGAGTGGCACGGTCCTGCAGAAGTGATGGCCATTCTTTAGCGGCTGGGAGGGAGGTCTGGGCATGCTCAGTAAACGGGGTGGGTTTGGGCTGAGAGGCAGTTGCCCGTGGGGCTGTCGTGCAGGGCAGTGTGACCGGGGATCCAGTCCCACTGTCAGCCCTGGCCCCTAGAAGTATTAATGCGGATACCACCACCGCCACCACTTGTGAGAGACAGTTTGATGGATAGAGTTAAATTGGAGGACAACCAGTCACGGATTGCAGATGAACCCACCACGACAGGTGGGTGGGATGAGAAGAGGAGAAGGAATATACGTGTGGAGGGAGGGGCTGAGAGAACCCGGAGAGGCATTTCGGACTTAGCACCAGCTGGTCCTCGAGTTTGAATAGAGCCCTTCCACGTGAGTTACGGCATTTCCTCCTCCCCGCAGCCCTGGGAGACGAGTGCCTTCACGTCACAGCTTTACTGTAGGAAAGTGAGAGTTAGATAGATCGAAGTTCTCCACCCAAAGTCCCGAACCTAGATAACTGATCCAGTAATTCAGGTGGAGGGTTTCCATCTCAAGTCTGGTTCCATTTCCAGCTTTAGCTGTTGGCCCCCTTTATGTGAGAAAATACAAGATTCTTACATCTTTTTCCATATCTAGATATTTCTATCTGTGGCCCTATTGTACATCAAGGGCATTTCATCCGAAGGTCACGTTGCAGGTAGGAGTTGCCTGTGAGAGGAAGAGTCATCCAGAGGTAGCCTGACCTCAGCGTGACAGTTAACGCAGACCTTGGAGATGGTTTTTACCCTAGGCATTCAATGCCTTTTTGCATCCCGTGTTTTCTCTAAATATTCCAGTGGAAAGGAAAGTCACCGTAATATTTTAGAAAGGAAGAATTAGGCACGCAGAGGGGTCACCAATCTCAGGTCCCTGGGACTGCTGGGCACCAGAGTGAAGCAGCATTTTGCTTCCTGGCTCTCTGCACCTCTCAGAAGGACTCAGGAGATGTGCCTGCAGGAGGATCAGCTGGTGCTTTAGCTACAGGCTGGCATTTGTGGCGCCTGGACCCCATTCGTACTGATGGAACTATTTGGGATTTGGGCCAAGGGGGAAATGGTTGTAGTCCCCTAACACACACTCCACAAGGGTACTGGGAGATATTAAGAACTCTTCCTTTTCCAATGTCCCAATCTCCATAGGCACTCCAGAACAAAGCCCTTGATAGATGTGTTTCCTCCTTTTTTCTTTTTTTCTCAAATGACCTATTCCAGTTCAAATGCCGGGAAGAAAATGTTGGACTGGTCACTTACCGTTCATCGCCAAAGAAACACGTCATTATGCACTGGCGAAGCCTCAGCAGACACGACAGAAAGGAATTAATTTGTAATTCCAAATTTAACTTATTTAGCCCTGAGGTTTTTTTTTTTTCTACTTGTTATACCTATATTAAATTATTTTTAAATATTTGAGTGATTCTTAATCTGATTTTTTAATCAAAGAAATGAAGCAACTCAATATTGTTTACTAGATATAATGGAATTGTGAAGGATTGTTGTTTTTAAATAAGTGCATTAACAGTCTTCGTCACTGGATATTAGTGAATCATAAAAGCATGTTGTTATTATTTACGTGTAACAGGACAGCTTGGCTCAGCTGGAGCTGAGACTCAGATACACCATTGTTTGGAGGTGGTTGACATCTTCCTGTACTAGAAGCTGAATAAATAAGCTCCTTGACTCTCACAGATCATTCTGGAAAATATAAACAGGTATCTAACCACATCTCCCGATTTCATCTTTAACATGGCAAAGATGTTGAATCCTGTACCAAAACTGGGGCTCAGACATTAATCAGCATGTCTGATGAGTGTATGGTGGGGGAGCCAGATTGTAGTGGGGTTCTCCAGAGCATAAAGGTCACAGTAAGCAAAGAAGGGGTTGGACAGCAGGATAGACACAGTAAAGTGGAGGTAGACCCCCAGTCTACCCCTAATTCCATCCCAAACTAGAGTACAGAGGCTTCCTGGGAAGGAGAGGGCTGTGTGGTCAAACTGAACGTTGTGTCCCCAGGAGTCCAAGCCACCCTGCTGTGACACTTCTCTCCAAGAGTTCTGGGTGCCAGAGTGGAAGACGTTTCTCTACTGACTGGAGAGAGAGACCAGGAGACAGTTGGGAAAGCAGCTGCCAGGTGCCTCGACAGTCACATTGGTGAGAGACACAGCAGCAGCCAGACTACAGAGCCACAGGTGGTGGCTCTGCTGTAGCCTACACACAACCAGCCACCTGGGGTCAGATCTAAAGACATAAGAGGAAGTGCTGAGCCCTTGCCACTGGGCAAGGCAGGGTTTTGAGCCAGAGGACTCTGAGACTGCTTTTGGAGTGACCTAGCCTGGGACCCATTTACTGGCGGGTTATACATTTAGAAGCTCATTCAGGATATAGTCAACTCTAAAGCAGTGCATATCTGCACCACCAATTAATCGATACCCATGAAGTGACTGTGAGCAAATATTGGGGACCATGGCACTGGCACTGTTAGAGGACTGGTGCTGGATAATGAGTGTGGATGAGCAGAAGTCACTGATGGTCGTGGGGATACCTGTGGACTGTGATGAGGCTGAGATCCAGGAGGTCCTGCAGGAGACTTTAAAATCTCTGGGCAGGTATAGACCGCTTGGCAAGATATTCCGGAAGCAGGGGAACGCCAGTGCCGTCTTATTAGAGCTCATGGAGGACACTGATGTCTCAGTGATTCCAACTGAGGTTCAGGGAAGGGGTGGAGTCTGGAAAGTGATCTTTAAGACTCCTAACCAGGACACTGAATTTCTTGAAAGACTGTACCTCTCTCCAAGCCCTTGGGCACGAGGGAGTGTCCTCAGCCACGGTACCCTGCATATCACCGGAGCTACTGACCCAGTTGTTGGGACAGGCAATGGCACATGCCCCTCAGCCCCTGCTGCCCATGAGATACCGGAAACTGAGAGTGTTCTCAGGGAGCTCTGTGCCCGCCCTCGAGGAAGAGCCCTTTGAGATCTGGTTGGAACAGGCCACTGAGATAGTCAAAGAGTGGCCGGTAGCAGAGGCAGAGAAGAAAAGGTGGCTGATGGAAAGCCTGCGTGGCCCTGCCCTGGACCTCCTGCATATCGTGCAGGCAGACACCCGTCAATCAGCATGTAGGAGTGTTTGGAGGCGTTTAAACAAGTGTTTGGGAGCCCGGAGAGCCGCAGGACCTCCCAGGTGTGGTATCTGAAGACCTATCAGGAGGCGGGGGAGAAAGTCTCAGCCTAGGTGAGTGTTCTCAGGGAGCTCTGTGCCCGCCCTCGAGGAAGAGCCCTTTGAGATCTGGTTGGAACAGGCCACTGAGATAGTCAAAGAGTGGCCGGTAGCAGAGGCAGAGAAGAAAAGGTGGCTGATGGAAAGCCTGCGTGGCCCTGCCCTGGACCTCCTGCATATTGTGCAGGCAGACACCCGTCAATCAGCGTGTAGGAGTGTTTGGAGGCGTTTAAACAAGTGTTTGGGAGCCTGGAGAGCCGCAGGACCTCCCAGGTGTGGTATCTGAAGACCTATCAGGAGGCGGGGGAGAAAGTCTCAGCCTAGGTGTTATGGTTAGAGAGGCTGCTCCAGAGAGCAGTGGAGAAGCGGGCCATCCCAAGGAATATCGCGGACCAGGTCCGCCTGGAGCAGGTCATGGTCGGGGCCAGCATTAACAAGGTCCTCTGGTGCCAGCTCAGGGAACTGAAGGATCAGGTCCCGCTTCCCAGTTTCCTTGAGCTGATGAAGGTAATACGGGAAGGGGAGGAGGAAGAGGCCTCCTTCGAAAATGAGAATACCGAGGAGCAGGATGAAGGGGATGGCTATGGCCGCTGGGATCATGAGGGAGATGATTAAAAACCAACCGGGAGCGAGACCCGCAGCTGGTGGGCTCAGGGACATTCACTTTATCAGGCTAGGAGCTTCTCCGTAGTTTTTCTTGTAATGTGTGAGATTGACATCAAGGTGTTCCAGCCAATTCTTGGTTTTTCTTTTGAAGAAAAAATATCTGAGAGTTCCTTAGACCCTATGTAGATCATTCATTCATAAACAAAAGACTAAATTCCAAATTTTAGATAGTAAGCCTAAAGGAATCGGAAACACCTGTGCTTCCGGTTTGCTTTAAATACCCCCAAATAGACCAAAGTTTATTCATACCATAGAAGAAATTGACATTAGAAAATATAACTTCCGTAATGTTTGAAAAATGAAGCTGTGTGACTTAGGTGTTTTTCCTTTCTCAAATCAGCAAAAACTATAGCTGTAACCTACAGCCAAGCAGCTATAACCCTACCCCATGGCCATGCTCTCGGGGTATTTCCAGCCTAGATGAGGACATGGCCTGGACTTGAGAAGAGCTGCATAACCATGTGTGTAAATAAGTTCACAACCTCAATAACAGCATCATTGCCAAGTGCATAGGACCATCTCTGCCTGTAGGTTTCTTTTTTCTCTTACCTTGGAATTGCTCCTCCTCCCATCTTGCTGCTAGGCTTCGGATAGAACTAGGTGCTGGGTCAAGTCCTGAAGACACAGATGACTTGGCCTAATCCCAGCTTTCAAGAGGTCAGAGAGATGTCCTCAAAGAAAAGGTGGACATTAGAGGTCAGTGTGCACAAGAGTGGGGATGTGCAGGGCAGGTTGGGGTCTAGCAAGCAAGTCTGAGCAGAAAGGAAGGTTTCTAGTGGCAACAAAGGGCAAAGAGGAGGGAACTTAGATTTATCGAGGATCTAGTATGTGCAAGGTGTTTCATGTAGATCTCACTTCACGTGCACATCAGCCCTTTTGAGGATAATTTTGCTCTTTATAAAGAGAAAGAAACAAGCTCAGATGGGTTAAGTGGTCTCTTCAACACCAAAATGCTAAGAAGTGGAAGAGCTTAGGTGGAAACCCAGAACTTTCTGGCTCAAGCTAAATCGCTCTCCATCATCACAGTGGCTTTCAAATTGTGCTCTGCAGTTCTGCAGAGATTTTTCAGCAGTTGCATCCTCAAAATATATTTTACATTCTTTAAATCTCTAATTAATAACAGGTAGACTGAAATGTGTTGATAACCAAATTTTAACACATGGGCATTCACCAACAGGTTTGCTTCTATTTCCAGATTGACTCATTTTGTGCAGACCTTGAAACAAAGCTTCCCTTATGGTATCTGTGCACATATCTGAGCTTCTTTTAATTGTTCGTAGATTTAAAAAGCTGTAGCACCTCATGAGTGCTTAAATCAGGCCTGTGCATGTCATGCAGGTGCGCTAGTGTAGCATAAATGAGCACCATTTAGTTACATGCTAGGCAAAGCTCCAACACAGTTGACATACAGCCTCATGGTAGATTTGTCATACTATACACAAGTTGCTTGGCTTCTCTGAACATAAGTCTTCTCATCCAAAAAATGGAAAGATGAGATTCTAGCGTTGTTGTTAGGATCAAATGACATAATGCCTTTTAAACACTTCACACAATGATGTCTGGAACATAAAAAGCCCTCAGTACGATGAGGCTCTTGTTATGATTTTCATGAAGCTTATTGTCTGCTCAGTGCATGCTCTCTTTATTGTTCTCACAGCTGTGCAGTAACAAGTAAACATGTAATCTTCCAGTCGAGTTGTGATACCGTGGCATTACTGTAAATTTGAGTGCTTGTTGTTTTTTATATTTATAAATATTCCAGCAGTTGTTGGTGATTGTTAGTGATTCGACTCTGAAACAATAACTAATACTTTCTGATTGTGGTTCACTTTAAAGAATATCCTGAGATTGTACGAAAAGCATATTTTTACAAAAGGTACCATTTGTGATCATTTGTCTTTCTGAATTATATTTTTCAGTATTGTTTAACCAAAATGATGCAATTACCGCCCATTGCAGTCTGATTTCATGAGTTTTTGTGTTCATTAAACTGGCCTCATTGTTATCGTTGATTGACAGTACACAAAGTAAAATGTTATAAATATGAAGTTATAAAATAAATATATGATAATGAAATCCTGAATATTTTTTATTCCTATATTGTGGTCTGTATAAACTATTGCTTATAGAAGGAGCTTCATTACTAACAATAACATTTCTGAGAGAGAAGCTTAGAAAGACAAGTTAAAGCCAAAAGGTCTTGAACTCCTCTGGGCAAGAAAACCTGAGAGCAAAACGCTGGAGTAAGGATACTCGGGATGTGTCTTCAGGGATGGGAGAGAGCTCAGTCTACCCATCACTGATTTCCCTTTTAAAATACATAAAAATGACAGATGGAGGCTGGTTCCCTCAGAGACCACCAACTCACTTGCTTAGGAAAATAATTATATAGATAAATTCCCCACCTTCTGTCCCACCAAGGGTAAGATGACCCGCAGATGGAATACTGCATTTCTGGGCTGAAGTCATGGTTTACTGTACAGCTGTGCAGGGGAAAATTTCCTTTTGCCTTTGGACCTCTTAAAATTGCTCCTCCTCCTCTTTTCTAAAGTGCATTGAGGGAGTCTGGGCTGAAGTCATGGTTTACTGTACAGCTGTGCAGGGGAAAATTTCCTTTTGCCTTTGGCCCTCTTAAAATTGCTCCTCCTCCTCTTTTCTAAAGTGCATTGAGGGATCATTCCTCATTGGGCCATACACAGTGCAGACCAGTCATGAAAGATGAGTGTCCAAGGGACACCCAGCTCTGTCTCCCAGTCACTTGAGCAAGACCCTCCTGAGAGGTCGTCCCCCCTCTTACTTCACAGGTCTCCAGGATTCACACACCCCTGCTGAAGGTGACATTCACCAGGGGTCTCAGGCCATTGGCCCCCTGCCTCTTCAGGCCTCTGGTGTCACCTGATATCTGCACTTGCACCAGCCATTCCCGCCACATGTTGCCTCCTCTCGTCTTCTGCTGCCTGCCCTAAATGCAAGATGCTGGCGGGAAGGTCTCTGCTGCATTCTGATTTCCATGCTGTGCTGTGTGCCCAGCACACCTCTGGACATTCTGCAACATCCTCTATCGTCAGAGTCTTGACTGCATACCTGTCACCATGCTTCTACATGGAACTCTGGTCTTCCTCCCTGTGCACTGCAGCCCTTGTAGCCCCTGGCGAGGAAGCTGCTCAGTCTCCCCCACCGTAGGAGAGATTGGAAGGAGGTGGTGGCATTTCTTACGGCTCAATGTCATCATGTTCCCACTTGCAGACACATTCTCCCCTGCCAGCATATGCTCACTCACTCTGCCCCACCACCCGTTGTGGAGTGGTCCTGATGAGCATGAGCAGTGACAGTGACAAAGCACGATGACAGTGCTAGCCAATGCAGAGAGAGGCCCGTTTAGGAATGCATTTAGCTGGGCCTCATCTAAAGCAACACAGAGTAGGAAGAAATAGGTAATGAATATACACCACATGCAAGGGAGTTCTTCAGGGCTGGAAAGCGAAGAGGGGGAGAAGCTGGAGTTTTAAAGGAACAGAGCCTGGAATGAAACACAGGTGAGGTGAGCAGATCCAAGACAAGGATCATCAAACGTGCTTCAGGCCAGTTTCAAGCTGACCAGGAGCGTCTTGGATGGTCTGAAGGCCCAAGATCAGAGCAGACACCTCTCCTAGATCCTGTCTGTCAGGGTGGGCCAGGAGTTCCTTAGGTTTTCCCAGGCAAGACTGAGATGCTTTGAGAAGTTCTCTTGGAAAGGAAGGTGGTGCCTCTGAGTGTCTGCTCAGAAGCAAGTGTTCCCCCTATACCGGGCCCTGGAGCTGTCTTGGTCTCCACCTGTGGGACCCAACTCCCCTGCCCAAGTGCTCTGTCCATGTGCTCCCTGACATCCCAGATGGCCATTTTCTTAAAAATTAGAATACCTCCAGAAGTGCATGCCAAAATCAATTTTACCATAAGGAAAGGGTGTAGGATTTCAGTCTCACTTTCGGGACACCAGCTGGAGCTTCCCATTAACCGTCCGGACTGCTTTAAGCAGCACCTGGGGCTACTTCTCAGTCTGCCCCCGCCCCGCCTTGAAGGGATGAGTTACTAAAGGAGAGGAGTTGCCGGACTGTGCATCGGTGCTAAGTCTGGAGCCACTGCAAGTGGTCCCCATCCCATCCTGCCCAGGCCTGCCCCTGCTCTGCGTGGCCTAGCGACAGTCCCAGTGAAGGCCTTTCCTGGCTTCTCAGCAAATGACTTTCCCATCAAATTTAATGACTAAAATAAAAGCTCTTGAACTAACAAGCTGATGTCACAAAAGTAAACTTCATATTGTAAGTGGACATAAGCAAGACCATGGAAACCAGGTTGTGGCATAAGGAAGGCTGAGCTCTACTGACCAGCTGTTGTACTGCACTGCCAGGTAACTTCCCATACAAAGGTGTGTCAGCCTCTGATGACACTTGTTGAGCGTGGGGACCCTGATCACTGTTCCAAGTCGTGGTTAGTGGACGTTTTAAACATTCTAAATAGAAAGCTTCTATATGAGCCTAAGATAACTGCAAATATCCTTGACTAAGTGTGCTGCCGTCTTGAAAAACACCTCTACCCACCCAGAATGTCCAGGGCCACTTCCAAGTTCAAGGTGATTTATGGGTCTAAAACTGAGGTAGAAATTCTCAGGACTCCCTAGCCCTGTCACTGGTCTGGGTTTATGGCCTACAAGTGGCACTATGGGATGAGAAGGTAAAGGGGCTCCTTGGCAGAGCATGGAATATCTAGGTCATATTTCCTCACTGGGACCGCTAGGTTTTATCAGCAGCTAAGCCAATCCTCCTTGACCAAGCTTGTCCTCAAGTTTTTTGATGCTTCATAATTCACAAAGGCATGCTCTGAAATGTATTCTACTCATAACCAGAATATATTTTCACTCAACTTAGGAAGCTATCAAAATTGTGTGCAAGGGTAAAGCTGGGCATGTCCACTTCCTCTGTTACCAGGGGCCATAGTATTTGCTGAGAGTGAGCAGGTTACACCTGAACAGGGCATCTGCTTATGAGGGGGACAGAGCAGTCAGGCACAGGGATAGGATGGAAATTGACATGGACTGAACACTAAAAAAGGAGGCAGAGGGGGCCATACCTAACACCTACCTGCCCTCCGCCCCCGGGGCATTTGCAACCTACATCAGTAACAAAGGATAGAGCAACAGAAATTAAGATTTAGAAATAGATGAGGAGTGGAGTGAAATATAAGGATGGGAACAGACAACCCGAGGCAGAATAAATATGAAGAAAATCACATATTGGCACATCATAGTCAAACTGCTGCAAACCAAAGATAAAGAGAAAATCCTGAAAGAAGCCAGGGGAAATGGCATATTCCATACAAGGAAATAACGATAGGAATTACTGCTGACAACTCAGGAGAAAATATGGAGGCCAGAAGACAGGGTAATAACATCTATAAACGATCGGCTAAATAGGGATGATTCGTTCAGCCATGATTTAGTAAAAATGTGCCTTTAAAATAATCTGAGCCTCAAGTATATGTGGAGGTAGTTGGGGAGTGGGGGTGACCTGAGATAATGGGAAGAAATTTCTGTCAGTTGAATTTCTTTTTTTTTTTTTAAGATGACCAGTAAGGGGATCTCAACCCTTGGCTTGGTGTTGTCAGCACCACGCTCAGCCAGTGAGCCAACCAGCCATCCCTATATGGGATCCGAACCCGTGGCCTTGATGTTATGAGCACCACACACTCCCGAGTGAGACACGGGCCGGCCCTGTCAGTTGAATTTCTTTAATGGTTATTGGACTATCTAGGTTTTCTATTTTCTTCTGGAGTCAATTTTAGTAACTCAGATTTTCAAATTTTTTCGTTTTATCTAAGTTTTCAAATGTATAGGCATAAACTTGTCAATGTTCTTTTCAGATGTTTTAAATTACTGATACATCTGTAGTTATGGGCTCCGTTTTCATGCTTAATATTAATTATTTGGTTTTTGCTCTTTCTTTTTTCAGAAGGTTAGCTATTTCATTAATGTTTTTCAGAGAATCAGCCTTTGAGTTTGTTTATCCTCTCCATCATTATTTTATTAATTTCTGATCTTATTTTTGTTATTTCTTTCCTTTCACTATGTTTAGAATGAATATACCATTTCTTTTCTAGCTTCTTGAGGATTGTTTCTTGTTTTCTACTTTTCATGATTTTTCAATAAATGTATTTAAGCATAGAAATTTATTTCTAAGTACCATTTTTATTATACCCCGTAATTTTGATATATAAACTTTAATATTTTATTATGATTTTTTTCATTAAACCTTGAGTTACTTTTTGGGGGAGCAATGTAGTTAAAGATATCTTTCTATTTTAAAATATTTCTAAATAATTGCATTGTGATCAGAGAACATTTTAATTTTCTGAAATGTGTCGATGTTTCGTGTTGTAACATGACCAATTTTGTAAATGTCTCGTGCCTTTGAAAAGAATCTATATAAGGCATAGAGAATACTCTCTGTTTTGGCTGTAGTGTTCCATTGTTAGTTTGCTGTTCAAATCCTCTATATTTTAATTTTTAGCTGCTTTATAGTAAATGTCTCTGGCTAAGAGTACTGCCATCTTGGGAAAAACATCTACCAATTTAGAATGGACAGGGCTGTTTCCAAGTTCATGGTGTTTTATGGGTATAAAACTAGGTAGTAATTTTTAGTACTTTCTAATATGAGTATTTTGGAGTATAAAACTACTCTTACATATATTTTAGTTCTCCCCAAAACCCTATGCAGATGGGAAACCACGTATTCTAAGTTCACATCTCATGGCATATTCAGTAAGCATTTAGTAGTCTCAAGATTTATTTATCCTATTAAATCTTAGCTACCTAGATAATCCACATGCATCTTGAACGTAAGTACTTTGGTTTGCTAGAATTCACCAGTGAAGCCAACCTGGCCCAGAGATATTTTTTTGGAGTAAGATATTTTATTAGAAATTCAATTCCAATTTTCTATTTTTTCTTGAGTCTATTTTGGTAATTTGAAGGAATCTGTCCATTTCATCTAAGTGATTAAATTTATTGTCATAAGTTGTTCAGAATATGCCCTTGTGTCTTTTCCAAGACTGCAGGAGCTCTGCTACACCCGCTTTCATTCCTGGCCTTAGTAATTTTCATCTACTCTTTCCTGATTGCTCTAACTACAGGTTTATCAGTTTTATTAATTATTTTTACAAAACAACCTTTGTTTTTATTGTTTTCTCTATTTGTTCATTTTCTATTTCATTAATTTCTGCTTTTACCTCTATTATTTTCTGTCTTCTACTTACTTCTTGTTTGATTTATTCTTTTTCTAGCTACTTAAGGTCGAATCTAAGCATTTAAAGCTATGAATTTTCCTCTGTGAACTCCTTACCTTCA